TTATATAAGGACTTAAGATAATAAATTTTAGTTTGATGACAGAAACATGAAATATATTGGATGATAAAGTAATAAATTGATTTCTCTGTACAAAATAAAAATACAGTTTATATCAACATGTATCACTTCAAAACCAGTTTCCACACATTCTCATCAAATCCATAATGTTCAATGTGAAATAAAAGTAAAACAATCTATGAAGCTCTCATAAACTATCTACTATATATGGTAGAATCTGAAAGAAAATATTATTATGAGTAACTGAAATCACTGATGTATTGTTTCCTTAATTTTTGGTAAATGTCTCTTCATAATTTTTCCCCCTTCCAAAAGAGAATGATTCACTTGTTCTATTTTAGAATACTGATTTCATAGAATTCTAACACAGTTATTTTAGGCTATTATAAGAACCCATTATTTATTAGGCAATATGTTAAACACCATGCTAACATAATTAATCTCTGTAGTCCATAAACATGTGTGTTTACAGGAATAAGATGTGGGGTACACCAGAAATACTGCCCCTTGTGGTCTCAGTTTTCAATATCTTAGGTGTATGGAATTATATGATAAATACTTTCTACTCTGAGAAAGCAGAACAGAATATGCAAGAATAAATAAAACTTAATGAGATGAAGAGTGGAGGAGAAATAGTCCAGTGAGAAGAGATGAGAATGATAAAGAAAAGAAAATGGAATTAGAAGAAAATCAAAAAAATAAAGACAACAATTTAGCAAATTAAAAAGAGAAAGTAAGTACATCTGCTGTTAAGACATCATCATGGTATTGATTCCACTCAATGACTCATTCATTTCTGCTGAAGTCCAGGGAAGGAGGTAAACTGAGATGGAGGGAAAAGGAGAGATGAACATTAAGGGGTTACCACACTCTCCATTCATTCTGATTATGTTGGCTTCTCCTTTGAACAATATTCTCCTGTTGTTCTGGGGTTGAAGGAACAAGTGAGGACAGAGTCCAAAATGAGAGACAAGAGTGAGAATAAGGGAGACACATAAATGAAGTTAGATGAAGTTTTGAGGTAGTCCTTCAATCTGTTCCCTCCTCCCACACTTTCTGCCATCCCTAGCCTTGCTCAACTATGTTTGTCATTTTGGAGGTAGCAAAAACCACTAGCTTATAGTACTTATCTTCCATCTCTCACTAATCAATGTAGAATATCCTATTTGCTGCAGTCTATCTTCTTCTTGACTATCCCAACCTGGTTATTTTCCATTCCAGTATCCTTTATAGCCTCATCTATTGAACCATTTCTTGCCATAATGTAGTCGTCAGGTTCCAGAATACCTTTCAAAATAACAGTGAATAAGTTTTAATATTTATACAAAATAAAAGGAAAAATTTCCAAATGTTATTAATAGATTCAACCATCATATATGCCACTCTTTTCAAGTGATATTACTAAGAGACTGTTTTTAGTATGGATAGAATCTTTAGAACTCTTGCACACCAAAAAGAGTATTAACATGAAATTGAACAGATTATAAATATTCCCCAATATTTTTAATAACTATAAGTAGTCTCATCAGCTAAAAAAAAATGTGTTAAAAGTGCATCATGAGGGCAGAGTTGCTGCATCAAACTATGCCGAGGTATCTCCCAGAGAGAGGGATGTAGTGGCAGATGAAGTGGAAAAAATCTTGGGAGATTCCAGCAGCCTTTGAGGAGTTGGATCTTCAATGGTGGGGAAGACATGTAATAAGACTCAGTCTGCTTTGCTTGGATGTTCATGATTTTTTCTTCTTCCTATCTGGCAGCCACAGTTTCTCAGCCATAGAAGTATGTTGGTTTGAAAAACTTAAAAGCCACTTATAATAAAGAATATAGCAACATGAAAAAGGACATAAAACTTCCAGTTTCATTTCAAATAAGAAAATACTTTTTAAAAAGGAGCAAACTAGAAACATAGACATCTAATTAGACATCTTGAAGATATACCATACTAGCAATGTAAAAAAATAGTATTTGAATTCATCTGATTTATTCAACTTTCTCAGACTCTTAGGGAAATATTTAAAATAATTTTTGTATTTATCTCAAGTAAAGAAAAATATCACATTTTATATTTTACATTACTACCTATAGTCATAGGAAATTTTAGAATTACAGAAAAATACTAACTGGGTTAGTATCATCCAAAATTATAAGATTTAACATTGTTCTTTTCATTAATGAGTCTAAATTGGTATGGAACAATACTGGCAATCTCACTATTCTAGTCAATTAATGGATTAGATAATTAATATTAATTATGTATTTCAAATTTATTAGGCCATACTTTAATGTAACTATTATATCATAACCAAACCCTATGGTAATGAATGTAGGGACAGAAGGGATAATTGCAGACTATAAATAATTTATACTTGTTTCAATTAAGAGAATTTCCATTTCACCACCTCTGTATATTGTCTAATAAGAGATTAAATGCATTGTACAGACCACAATACAGGTAACATCAAGAAAAAGAGAGCAGAGTAGGCTACATTTAGTGAAATGCATCGGTTTTGCCCAAATATGCCTCTACTTGAACACAAAAAAAACCTGGCAACTGATCATATTATTTAAAAAGGCTACTTTCATGAAATTCAACATACTATCCTGTCTCTGTTACATTCCAAAATCAATTTGTTGGCTCTAGCAGCAGTATGCCAAGAAAGAGGATTCGAATTGGTCCAACTGCTGTAGCAGGTAAAAGAGAAGAAAGGAGGTAGGAAAGTTAATTGTTATTGAGCTCCTAATGTGTGCCCGACATTATGATAGGTGTTTTACATATCTTACTTATCTGAGTGAAAGAAGCAGAGTGAGGAAGTGGCAGTAAAGTTAAGTTTCAACCCTATTTCTAATTTCAGTTCAGCTGGCTCGCTAGCCCAGCTACATAAATTCTCACTTCCTTTCTTCTTCTCTTACCCTTGGCCCCACTTAATCTTTCATTGAATCCTGAGATTTACTTACATGCTTGTTAGGATTCTTCCTCTTTTATTGGATAGTTACACAATTTTTGAGTTTTGGGAGGAAGTATAATAAAATTGAAGTAAGAATATGGGTCTTAGAGTCAAAGAGCTTTGAGTTTTGGGTGAGCTGAATAATTATTCTGAGTCTCAATTTCTATATACACCTTATTTGCAGGATTATTGCATAGACTAAATGAAATAAAATATGTAAAATACTTAACATGATGCTTGGCACACTGTAAGAACACAATAAGTGTTAGCTATGGTTATTATCATTAGAAAAAGGTAAACAGATGCAGTTACCATGACTCACTTAAAGCCATAAGTCAATTTCAGAGCAAGAACTGGAACCAAGTTTCCCCAAACATCATTCTATGTAGTTTTCAATATTTTAGAATATTCCTGTGATGTAAAGAAGCATTTACACATTCTAGGTGTATTTAAATGTCACCAATCCACATAGATTTTATTAGTTTATTTGTAGACTTTTAAAGGCTTTCATATTCATTTCATAAACACCAGTATCTTTGTTCCACAAACAATATCCTTTAAATAATTTTATTTTTATTAGAGACTAATTTCTATCCTCTTACTGACCATCTGGAAATGCGTGCTGCAACTACTGAAACAGATGTCATGTTTGTTAAGGTCACATGAACATTAGAAGAGGGAAAAGCTACTCGTCTACTGAAGCAGCTGCTTTATCCCACTGCCCAAATCCTCATCCTATGGGACAGGAAACTTCAATCAGAACAACCACTTTGTACAGTTTCTAGTAATCAGAAAAGAAAGCCATCAAAACTGTCACAGTGTGGAAAGGCTTTGTCTACTACCAACACTCTATTATTCAGTGTCAAAGGTGCACCCACGCATTTAATTTTGAAAACGTTTACCAACTTTTGCTTCACTTAGATAATGAACTTGGAGATATCATGGCTTTAATTATCAGAGTTTAGAAGCCTTTCCAAAATACCACAAACTTCTCAAATTATTCAAAACAAAAATTGAAATGTCATTTGCCTTATGATTAGAATCATTGAGAAAAATCAGGCTTTTCACAAATTTTCTTCCATCACTAGGACATGCAAGAGCAAATTTAGTTAAATTGTGTAATAGGAAATAATTACTCACTCTGATGAGTTAGTGAGAAGGAATAGAATACTAATAAAAAATCTGCATTTTTTCAAATGGGTTATATTAATAATTCTAGATTATTTTAACTTTTTAAGATAATATACTTTATTTGGCAGAGAGAGTGGAAAAAAGTGAATCAACTGAGACATATAAAATAGTCCAAAATGAAAAGCATATAATGTTCATTTTCTAAATCTAAGATTAAGAAAAATAACCCTTAAAAATCTACAATAGGCACAGAATCCCACTATCACAAAAAATGACAGTGGGATTCTGTGCCTATTGTAGATTTTTAAGGGTAGATAACAAAGGGATTTGTGAGATTCATAGGGCAAGAACATTTTTTAAAACTAAAACTGCTGTCCTCTTTTAGGAAATAAGAAGCTAATTCAGCTATTAAAAATTTAAAAATTTTAAAAGATCTACATTTAAAATACTCCCCCCAAAACCACCAGATACTTTAATGAACTTTGAGTCAATGTTAGATAAATGGATGTATGCTGTTATAAAACATCTACTAGGTAATTCAATAATTTATAAAGTGAAACTTTTAAAAAGTTGTATCAAGAAAAGGTTGAATTTATATACACTGTCACTTTAATTTCTATTCTAAAATTGTTATTCCAGTTCATGGAATATGTACTATTACCTAGTACTTGTCCATATAGAAATGTATATATAACCTCAACCATCACCAATCCTCTTCATGTTCTTTTAAAAAAATGCTTTACATTCCATCAAATAATTAAGAAGAATCAATATTCAGTTATTTTTTTCAAAAGGCTGTTCAATATTTTGTATACAAACAGGAATTTCATTTCATTGGCATTCTTTTAAAGCTTTAGCAAATCAAAATTAGTTCCTCCCACTGACTCTTAAGGTAATTATACATACCACAGTCTGATGATTAACTTGAATCACTTCATCGCCAGCATGGATTTTCTTGCACCGATCTGCAGGTGACTGAATTTAATATAAAAGAAATGATAAAGAACATAAATTTTATCAGTCATTTCCTGTCTCTGGAAACACTACAAAAAGTTCATCTCCATAAATTAGATTTAAAAATTAATTAAAAATTTCAAGGAATCAAACTAATAAAAATGATTATTAGTATTTAATACATTGTTTTTACCTTCTGAGCCACTTAAATTAATAAATACAGAAAGAAAAAATTAATAAAAAATAGTTTGCATCCTATGCATAGCTAATGACAACAACCAGAAATGCAAAATAACATACAGATATTTGTTATAAAAGAATAACACGTTTCTGAGAGCATTATGAAAAAATGATAATTGGTATTAACTTTTGTAAACTTTATACAAGCAACTCTCCTAGGTTCTAGTGGGTAACCGCTTCAAAAATGCATTTCAAAAAATTGTATCTTTTTGTATTTTGATCCTTTCCATTTGATATAAATAATTCACATTAACTTCAACAAATCGATATTTTCAAGTACATGAATATGATCAGCATCAAATATTTGAAGTTTGATAATTAAATTGCTAATTTATTTCATCAGTAACACCAATTCTCAATAATCTAGCAAAGCAAATTAAAAGATGGACAGCAATTAGTTCAAATCATATTACATAACATTCTAAGTGTCTACTTATAAGAGGATGCTATTTCTCATGTTACATATAGTGTAATACACTGGACAGTAAAACCACATTCAATAAACTAATATTTCTATAGAATGTAATAATCTAACACTTTTTTCCTTTATTCCCATAAGGGATTAAAAACAAAAACAAACAAAAGAACAACTTGATAAGCTAATACTGACAAGTTTTAAGGAGTTTTTAGGAAATTAAAATGAGATTTAAGATAGAAATTTTATATTGCAGGTCTGAGTAATGAATTTAAAATATTATATTTTTCTTCTGTTAGTTACTAATTATTGATTACATGCATTTTAATATGCTTTTGAACATACACAAAATCTATTTTTATAAAAATGTATTTGTCTAGATAGATGTGCATGTGTTTATCTATCAAACACAACCATAAATGCTGTGATACTCTTCATTATTATCTACTGAAAGCTAAAGAAAAATAATATGGTAATATAATCTGCAAAGTAAAATGCTACTTTTGAGACCCTGGAGTAGGACATACTTTAAAAGTGATTTCCAGTTACTTTTTTATTCATTTCCAATTATTTTTAAAACATATAAGTCTTAAAACAATGTTAACCTCCATTCAACACATTTTTAAAATTCAATAAAAATATTTGTCATAGGCTATAATTCAAGATAAGACAACATACCAGGGAGTTCTAGTTACTGAAGTAATAACACAAGTACATTATTAAGGGGATAGATTAATCTACAATAAAAACTCTAAGAATAGTGTCATAACAATAATATTTTTATCTCACAGCACCTTTAGGAGGTGGACATATTACCAAGTCAGACAAGTATCATGAAACAATTCTGAAGACTGTAAATCATTAATATATTTGTAACTATAGTTGGTTCCTGTGGTATTTAGTTCACAACTGATCTTTTTAAAGGAAAGTATAGAAAAAGTATCCAGCAAATGGCTCTAGTCATTATGTAGAAGAAAATGATAGTACATAAAATTCAAAGAAACTGAAACATTTTGCACAGGTAAGTAAAGAAGTCATATAAATTATAGACTTTTAGTTTTAAAAGACATCCTAGAGATAGAGTTTTGTCCAAATGCCTCATTTCACATATAAGAAAACTAAGAAACTAGGGCACAGCAAGGCATAATAACTTACCCACTCTAGTGAGCAGCTTTACTAAGACTCAAGACAGATATCCTAATTATAAATGACTGAGGTTACCAAAAATACTTAAATATTTTTAAGAAAAAAAAAGAATCCAAAGATGAACTATTAATATATGGTTCATATCTGAACTACTCTTGGACTCAATCTTTCTTTTGATCACTTATCTATTCACCAAACATTAGTGAGTAATATGAGCAAGACATAGTGCTCAACACATTTTTGCAGACCCCAGACAATATAGAGAGATCCATTCCTACCAATTCTTCAAGACACAGTTCAAAATAACCATTTCTGTGATTCTTTCTCTGATTTCACTTGGCAGCATTTACTATTCTTCCCTTTGTCCATCCATGCAAATTACACCACTGTTTATAAAGATGAACCCCCACATGCTCTCCACACCTTGATGGCACCAAACTAGTTTATTTTAAAATTCTTCCAATACCTAGCACCATGCCTGAAACATAGCAGACATGAAGCAGAGGTCTGTTAAATGAACAAATGAATAAATGAATGAATAAATAAATCAGAATGAACAATCGATGACAAGCATATAGTTTGTAGCATCTTAACTGCATTTAAAATTGTTAAAATCTTTGTAATATGCAAATTACTGATAGTCTTGATCCCTTAAGACTCTCATATTTAATACCAAATGTGAAGCTGCTCCTGCACTCCAACTGCAAATATATATTATGTGTTTCACCTTTCACAAGAAACCAAAAGAAGCAGGGAAAAATATCAGTAAGTGATTAAATAGGGGAATTAGATGAAAAGAATGTTGATTTTCAAAAAGCAAATGCTGGTAAAATGTTCAGATCAATAATAATTTGAGATTAAACTAATTCCACCTCAGTCTTCTTTAAAATAGCACAGCATAAGCATGCAATTGTCGGAATCTCTAAAAGAAAAAAAAATTAATACATTCAAAGCTCAGTACCTGCTTATATAATAATAGAATGGAAATCTGAAATAACCAAATGCAAGAATAATGATGTATTATGCTGTTCAACTCTATCACACTGATCATGTTAATAACATCCAGCATGATCACTTCATGCTTCTCTCTCTATAACACAGATAGTTCTCTACAGCATGGCCTTTCTTAGCTTATTAAATTTTCATTACAACCTAGTGAGGTATGTAGTGCAGATAATTTGTTTCCAATTATAGTCGAAGAAATTGAAGCAATGAGAGGTTAAATGTCTTGCCCAAAATTATACTGCCATTAAGATGCAGAACTGGTTGTAAGACATAGGCCTGTGGACTTCTGACCCACTGCTTATGGTGGTTTGCAAATATGCTTCAGATTCACTTGTTAAAATAGAATCTCTTATTAAGAAATAGGCTGGTCTCCAGAATTTCTGATTTAGTAGGTCTGGGGTAGCGCCTGACAGTTTGCATATATAGCAAGTTCCCAAGGGAGGCTAATACTGGTGTCCAGGAATGTCACTGTGAAAATCACTCAGCTACCATGCTGCCCTTCCACTGAATTAAGCTGAGTTACACTGGAAGTATTCAGAAAACCTGACTTATCTGATATTTATTTCTTACATGAGTTTAGTTTCTTTAAATAACCAAATCATTTGACAGATGGAAATGAATTCTTTCAGATGTCACAATAACTTGTCATGAATCAGAAAATACGAAGACAAATCTCTGGCTGAAAACACCTGATTTACTTTAAGTAAACAGCTATTCTAAACAACAAAAAAGTGAAATTTGAACAGAACCAATACGACTAACTCAGTATCTCTTTTAAATTGTATCTACTATCTGTTCATGTCCTTATCCTTAGATGTTAACCTCAATCATGTGAGATACGTAAATTGTTAGCAATGAAAGGGAAAAACGCACATAAAAATTTGAAAGGTTAAAATACTTACATTTTCTGTGGTTCCAGTAATTACATGGAGGCCATCATATGTAGATTTAATATACATACCCTAAGAAAAAGACAGCATCAGAAAATAAAGTGAAGCAATTGGAGAATTTTCAAGTACATTATAACCTCGTTTATATAAACAATTACTCTATCAAATTAAAACTGCCATGTGCCCCAGAAATAAATCCATGAAGACAGATGCTATCTTTAAACTGATGAGAAATTACTATCTGAACATTCTGGTTTCTAAAGTTTGTCTGAAGAAGCCTATACTCAATTAAATAACTACTTGATAAATGAATTGCCTGTGAGACTTATAAAATGCAGCATGGTAATTCAATATTCCTAAGAAAGAACATCTCTCACTTCCCCCAAAAACCCATACTACATATTCTGTGGCAAAATAAAAGTTACAATGGCAAATTAAAATATTGGTATGTTATTAACTTATTATACTTGATATATTATACAACGGAAGGTAGTTTTCTTATGAGACACTTCAATTATAACTGGAGCCAGAAGAGTGATAAAATATAATTTACATAAATTTTCTCCTTCTATTTTGTAGTATCTTGTATTTTCCACCTTTCTTATTGATAAAGTTTTAATAATTACAGCCAATAATCTCTACATCAATAACTAAAAGGTAGTGTGTATCTGTAGCAATCCCTTCCTCCAGTAAAAAGGACAAGATTCTGCTTTCCATTTAAATAGAACCATTTTTAGAAAAAAACTTCATTAAAGTTTAAAAATTATACAGAAATCCTGAAACTGTATAAACTTTAAGAGCAAATGGAAACTTTAAATTATGGATAGTGATGGAACTTTAAAGGAAAAAAATCACAATAAAGGATTCACATTTTTAATATTAAATAATTTAAGTAAACCGGAACAAACTAGATGATTCAGTTAATGAATTTTTGTCCCCTCCAAGGAATATTGTTAGTTTAAATTCATTTTTGGGGAAAAACTACCCGAATTTTACCTATAAAAGTGGATTGCATTTCAAAATACTGACTTCATAAATAAAAATACTAATATTAACTTCAAATCTGAAATATAGATTTAATAATAACAACCAACAATACCATTTCAGAAAAAGCACACATTTAGTAGTTATATGAAGCAATTGCTACAATGTTAATTTCCTATACCTTTGTTAGTTATATATTTGGATACCTGAAAATACATCTGTTTTCACTGAAAATAAGAGATTAGAAAAATAAGTAGTAAATTTCGGAACTATTGAGAAATCACTGAGTAGACTTTAATTCTAAAAAGTCATTTCAGTAATATCATATGTCTAAAATGGCTGAGCCTAGATTGCTAATATGAAACAAAATGAATGCTTATCACTTTATATAAAACAAATAATCTTAACAAAAGTACAATCAGAATTTAATTAATGGATTGGCCAGTAGGTTTTGGCTATGACAACATGGTAATATTCAGACTTACACTGGTAACAGGTATATAACATACTTAATTTGAAGCTAACATTTACCCCATCATTTACTGATCGGTAAATATAACGATACCATTTTAGAACTTAGAGGAGGACAAGATCTTCGCAAATATTTTTCATTCAGGAATTAACAAGATTATATCAGATTAATAAAGGATCTTAAAATACAGTCATGACGCATAATGACGTTTTGGTTAATAATGAACTATATATACGATGGTGGTCCCAAATAATTATGTAATGATATTTTTATTATACCTTTCCATTTTTAGATATGTTTAGATACACAGATACTTAACACTGTTACAATTGCCTACAGTATTCAGTACAGTAACATGCTATACAGGTTTGTAGAGTAGGGGCAATAGGCTCTATCATTTAGCCTAGGTTTGTAGTAGGCTGTACTATCTAGATTTGCGTAAGTACACTCTATGATGTTCACACAATGATGCAATCGCCTAAGGATGCATTTCTCAGAATGGAATCCCGTCATTAAATGAAACATGACTGCACATTTGTAAGAGCTAGAGAGTACATTTTTTGTGGGGTTTTTTTGTTTGTTTTTTTGAGACGGAGCTTCACTCTTGTCACCCAGGCTGGAGTGCAGTGGCAGGATCTCAGCTCACTGCAACCTCTACCTCCTGGGTTCAAGTGATTCTCCTGCCTCAGCCTCCAGAGTAGCTGGGATTACAGGCACTCGCCACCACGCTCAGCTAATTTTTGTATTTTCAGTAAAGACGGGGTTTTACCATCTTGGCCAGGCTGGTCTAGACCTTCTGACCTCAGGTGATCTGCCCACCTCAGTCTCTCACAGTGCTGGGATTATAGACATGAGCCACCATGCCCGGCCAACTTTTAGTTTTTGACATATATGGGTTGTGAGAGGATAAAGAGGAAAAAGTGAACAAAACAACATATACTGTTTGGACACACAAAACAATTATCCATCATTATCTAGCACCATCATTAATATCTACTTGTTACAATGTACCAAGGATTGTTTTAAGTGTCTTGTACTTATTTCACAATAGTCTATGTGGTGGAAACTATCATTATCTCTGTTTTAGAGATAAGGAAACTGAGGCTCAGAGAGGCTAGGGAGTCTGCCCAAGGTGGTGAAGCCAGCTTTCAAGCCCAGGCAGTCTGACTCCAGAGTCCACACTCTCAACCACTGGGCTCCTGATTTATGGACTTATTTACAGTTAGGAGAGTTGTACACCTTGACTTTTCTTATTAGAATATTTGACAACTGTAGATATTAAAGTCGAACATTCACTTTTTAACATCTGTTCTAAAAGACTAAGACCACTTTAGCAAACATGTAGTATGTGAAATGTAGCTAAAAGAATAACTGGGATTGACATTTTACAAATTCATTTCAATTACCCATCTCTCTTTCAGGCAGGATAGGTAGTCAAGGAATTAACATGTGCTTGGAATTTGGCAACTGTGGCGAATGTATGGTTAACACAGTAAGCCCCAGAATTCACATTGTAGTCAAGTTCATTTAAGCACAGCTAGGAAATTTCCCCTGGAGGGAGCATGTGCATTTTGATTTTACCTGTCCTCAAACTAAGCCTTTGCTCATTATAATAGTAAAAAGCACACCCCTGGGTGGAGACTTAAGATGCTAATGAGACATGCAACGTATGAACAGGCATGTACAGCTACTGTGCACGTGCACCCAGAGGACCACCCAGAACATGCTTACTAGTAACAGCTCTTCCCATCCCCTTATAAATAATCATGTAAGACTCCCATAAAGGGAGTCTCCCTAGTGCCAGTCTTGGTGGTCTCATCCTTAGGAGCAGCCTGCTCTGAATCCTCTCTCAGGGTGTACTGGCTATTCTGCACCTAACTTTCACAATATTCTTTTTCCTTTGCAATAAATTGCTCTATGCTACATCTCCTTTGCTGTGTTTCTCTTAAGTTCTTTTAAACTAAGAAGAACCGAGGTTTCACAACAGCTGTCAACATCTTGACAACTAAGCAGAAGTTGATTATATTTTTCTCCACGTATCTTTCAATACTGTGCACTATTACTACGAATTAAAGGTGTCTGACAAGAGTTCTAAATGATTCTATAAATGATGAGGTCATAAAGAAAGCCTAATATTTAAAGAAAAATGTTTAGAAAAGACACTGTAGTTATTGGGATAATAAAAAATCATGGAAACAGCATAGCTATGACTCTACATTCATCTGTGTATAATTATTACAAATAACAGGAACTTAACCAAGAATTCTAAGCCAAAGACAGTATCTAGTAGTTATAGGAAGAGGATCTCATCATGACAACATTGCAGAATTTATATTAAAGCTAATTTTTTCAGATGAATAAAATTTTTAAATGCTTAGAGATGTATCTACATATAGACATAAAGCAATAGGGTAGAAATAAAACAAATTTTTAAATGCCACAAGAATAAAGATATTTTGTTTTATGTAATATTTTCATTACTAAACTCAATAAACCATGTTGTAACTGCTTTCAATAATCAAAATTGACTTCTTTGTCTTTTTTAATGTCCTTCTCATAGTAGTAACGAGAAAAATGGTCAGAAGTCAGGCACCAAAAGAAAGAGAAGAAATAAGTTGCTTGGTTGAGTTTCAAACTAATCATCTTCTGAATAAGAAAGGGTCCACAGAAATACATCTGATTCGTTGTTCACCTCTGAGAAAGGGCCAAACAGCAGGAGGACATGCAATTCAAATGGCTCTTTTTCTGGAACCACGACAAAACACGGCTTTCCATTTCATCAAAACATTCATTCCTCCTTTTCTCTCTTTTTAAAAACCCATTAATTAATTCTAGAGCTGACTTGCACAGCTCCCTCTCTCCTGCTCAGGTTGCCAAAACGACATTTGCTTCATTCTGTCTCCAAATGTTGGTTAACCAACAGGAGCCAAAACAACCTCTCAGTCAAGTTGGTAGAATAAGGCATATTTGGAGATGGTCCAAGTACCTAAATAGAAAAATAACTCCCTGAGGCCAAGAGGCTTCCCCAAGGATGATCCCAGTCCCTTCCTCTCTATTAAGTTCATGTTTTGGCTCTGATCCAATTTTGTTGTTTCAATAGCTCTCATTTTCCTTTAATTTTCTGCTAATTATTGTTCTTTAAAAGCACTTTAGAAGAAAGTTTCATATGGTTCAATCATAACTAAGGTTGTTTCTCATCAGTCCTTACAATGCTTTAGGACTGTCAACCCTAAGAAATTCTAGGAGATTCCACTAATTAGAAAGCTGATAAACGATGTATCCAGTTTATCAGCAGGAGAACCAGTTACCTTTTGCCTATGAGACATGTTCTGCCCTAAAATAGGAAGAACACTTTCTGCAGATATTTCTAAGCTAATTAAATTTCATTAAATCTTGGTATTCTCCCACCGCTTTCTATTTCTTTTCTTCATTTATCATTTAGACATTTATTATGGCTAATTACCAAAATCCTAAATCAAAATCCTAAAATTGGCTTATTTCAAATGTGACTGACTAAACTTACTTAAACGTGACTGAGTTTTAAAACGATACCTTGAATAAGCCATGTAATTCCTCTGTTTAGTACTTTCTCTTTGATATGAATCACAAAAAATAGTTTTATACTTAACTCGTTCTATTAATATTCAACATTTTAGGTTTTTCTTTTCCTTCCTTTCAATTCCCAGTGAAGTGCTGCCCATTGTCCTTTAAAAACAAATTTCTCTAAGTAATTTCAGTTTTAAAGTCATCCTCCTAAGCTTCTCATACCTCTCTTTAGCAATTCAAAATTTGAATGTGGAATAATAAAAAAAGCTTTGTTCAGATGTACTTCATTTAGATTTACCTAGACTTAAACCTTGCCTCTGTTATTTATTACCTATATGTGATACAGAGCAAACTAGTGAATATGTGCAATTTTATTTTCTCATTTGCAAAATGAGAAAATCAATATCTAGTCTATAGAGTTGTGAGAAAAATACCTGGCAAATGGTGGGCATTCGTTTCTTTTCTAGCTTTTTCCCAGACTCTTTAACTGAATCTGGTTCTTAGCATTTTAAGTTCCCATCTACCTCTTTCAAATGAAAACAATAAAGGACCTGTCCAGGGCTATACCTTCCTTAAAAAATCAAGATTTCATAAAGCCCATTAATTAGCATTATTTTGACTTACTTTATAAGGTTATTTCTCCCAATGATTTCAGTGGAAATTAGAGAAAAAAAAAATCAGGCTTTTTTCTTTTTAGAACCACAGACTAAGAGCCAGAAGGAGCTTTAAAGATGATTTCCTCCTCTCCCTCATCTACATGACTAGATCAAGGCCAAGGTGGTTAAATTTACTCTCCCATCTCTTCAAGATCACTCTCGTAGTTATATTTTATGTAAGTTATTTGTATCTGGGTGTTCTGACTTCTAGTTTAATACAATGTTGTATTAGTTCATAATTTTTCACTCTAAAAATCATGCTTAGGGGACTTCCTTTCCCTTATAACTACTAAAAGGGGACATATAGAAAGGACCATCTTTAATGCTATAGATTGAAGTGTTTTTAAAATAAAACCGGACTTTGTAGAGGTAACTAAAAGGAATAAAAAGAATTTTAGATTATCATTACTTAAAAGAAGTTCATAAATGTAATCAGCATTAGATATAACACTTACAGATTACAATGATGGCATGCTACGTCTGATATGCTGATTTTCATCATATTCCTTCCCAGGAAAACACCCATAAAAGCCACAACAGCACTAGGAACTACAGATAACCAGAATTAATTTGCCACATATCCGGAGAAAACTTACTCTCTAGGAGAGATGGCATCAAACTGAAAAATCACTGGTAGTCAATAAAGGCTTTGCCTTCTGAACAGTTATATAGATGTATGAAAAAGAAAAGCCACAGAAAAAGTTAAACTTGCTTAGAAATCTTAAAGAATATATTATCTTAATTCAATTATTAATGCTAGTTGCCAAAATTTCTATTTTCCAAAAGATCATTACTTGGTAAATTCATATACAAGGAGAAAGTGGAAACACTATGGCACCAAACCAACATGTAATAGTTGTGTAGTAGTTAAGATATTCTCTAGCCAGTTTCTTGTTTTTTGTCTCAATATCAATTTTTATATGCTTTCTTCCTTAAGACTTATTTTTTAAAAAGTCTCTCTCTTGGGTTAAATCTAGAACCAATACACTTTTTAATCAGGTGAACAAAATATAAAACACGATTATATTTATTATTACATAATAAAAAATACAACTCATAGACATCTAGTGTTGGCAATATCCACTTGCTTACTTACCCTTCTAAGAATGAATGTGAGTTATAAAGAGTATCAGAGAATATTGTTTAGCTAACCCACCCTAGGGGAAGGAATAACTATTAAAACCAGGACAAACCAAAGTAAAACAAACAAAACACCTACTTCATGAGCAGGTAACACTGTGGTGTTTATTATAAAACTCTTAAACTTCCTTTAAACCTAAGGAACTTTGGTGGGGAGGGAGGTGAAAGAATGTAATTGAAGCTAAATGAGTACCAAATTAATTCAGAAGTCACCATTTTCAACTCTCCTTCATTTTCATTTATTTTAATAAAACTTCTTATGCAACACAAACTTCTACTACCATAACTCCTCTAGGAAAAAAATACCAAAATGTTCAGTGTCTGTTGAAATTCATAGATTCCCACATTCAGAGGCTGCTTTGTCCACATCACTAGCTGTCTACTGATGGATGGTGGTTTTGATAAACATGGTATCTCTTACCAGCCCTTCGCTTGGTTTGATGTTTGCTAATTGAATCACCTCCAGGTGAGCAGACTGTGAAACCAGAGGATCTGATGACAGGGATATGATGTGGTCACAGACTCCAGAAAGAGTTTTACACTGGTAGCACAAAAAGAAAAATAGCTGTGGTAAATATGTGTTGTAAGTAACATATAAATCACCTTTTGTAATAATGTTTTCACAAGGAAAAATAAAAGAAACAGTAGAAGAAAGTAACTGGCATTTTATTCTGTAAAATCTGTACAAAGAAATTCAGGTGAAATGAAAACACATTTACACACAACACACCTATATTCTAAATTATGAATGTAAGAACTATATGCCAAAATATTCATTAGTTATGGTTATACTGTTTCTATTATTTGACTTACCATACCTACAAAAAATGATGGTTAAACAAACTTAATCTGAGAACCTCTTGATTACAGCCATAAGATTGAACTGAACACTATAAAAAATCTCGACGTCTTTTAATTCATGGTCAGAAAAGTTAAAAAAAGTCTGGCCAAGATCCAGGAAAGATGAATCTTCCAAATATGCTTAACAAACTCTTCCTACTTATTTATCTAGACTTTCCTGCTCAACTTTGTATAAAGTTTCCCACCTCTTCCAGGCAAAATCTCAATCCTGCTTTCTCAGCATTCTATGAACAATCTGAAACTGTGAAACTATTTTATTCTGAATCCCTCTGAGGCAGGTACCATGCCCTACTCATCTCTGTCTTCTTATCTTTTTCCCTCCACCTCTACCTACCACCTAGATCAGGTAGACAAATCCTAGAAAATACAAAGCATTCAATAAATATTAGTTGAATGAACTGAAGAGCAAATGAGCTTAAACAATTAGTAGAGTGGCTTTACTAAGGACAGAAAGCTAGTGCTTTTGTCAGGATAAATCCATTCATGCTAACTGTATGAAATAATAAATTTAAAATATCATGGTATTTTAAGGCTTACAAATGGCAAAATCATGAAGAAAGTGGAACATGAATGAAGAAGCTTGAACCATACTGCCCTAAAATATGCTGGCCCTCAGATGCTTCACAGACTCTCATTGTATTTACTGAAGCCCAGTTTTCATCATCTGAAACTTTTTTTTTTGCTCTAACTATAGGAGGAACTACTATTTTGCAATCAAGGTATTATCATCTATCCATCTCCAACATGTTACGTTTGTTCTGTAGCCACTGTTATTAGTCTACTGTGAGGTAGACAGTGTGAACTCAAAATATCTGAGACAAATCTCGGTCAATTTAGGAAGTTTATTTTGCCAAGGTTAAGGACATGCCCATGACACAGCCTCAGTAGGTCCTGATGACATGTACCCATGGTACATGCTTCAGCTTGCTTTAATTTTAGAGAGACATGAGACATATATCAATATGTGTAAGATGTACATTGCTTCAGTCCTGTAAGGCAGGACAACTGGAAGTGGGGGCTTCCAGGTTAGAAGTAGATAAGAGACAAAAGGTTGCATTCTTTGAGTCTTTGATTAGCCTTCCACTGAATACACAATTTAGTCTGGCTCAGTGAATCTGCATTTTTATATAAGCAAAGAGGGCACAGGAAACAATCAGATATGCATTTGTCTCAGGTAAGCCTCAGAGGAATGACTTTGAGTTCTGTCTGTCCTTTGTCCACAAGGTATTTCCTTGTGGGCAAAATGTGAGGGAGGTATGTAGCTTCTTATCTTTGTAGCTATCTTATTTAGAAATAAAATGGGAGGCAGGTTTGACTGACATTTTTCCCAGCTTGACTTTTCCCTTGACTTAGTGATTTGGGGATCCTGAGATTTATTTTCCCTTCACAACAGTTTCTCCTGTCTGGTCAAGATAATAAGAACTCTCTTTTTGTTTACTATGTTCTGTCTTTGGTCCATGGCCTCACTTTGTGCTGGGCTCAGCTTCTTTACACTAAAGAAACTGTCATGTTAAATTTCCCTAATTGTGCTAGTGTTTTTGGCATCTGCTTCTCAAGTCTGTACGTTTATTGTGTCTATCAGCCCCTAAAGATAGACACACAGCCTCATGGTACCAATACCCATGGAATGGACATGGGCTTCATCTGAAGACAGATGTGGGCAATCACCACACTGCCAATGATTGCTGTGTGACTATAAACAAGTTATTTTATATCCTTGAGATTCACCTTCCTCAGATAGAAAATGAAATGAGCTAATAAAGATTACTTTATATGGCTGACAGGCTAAGACATGATAATGCATTAAAAAGAGTCCAATATGGTTCCTATCCAAAAAAGACACCCAATAAATGCTTTTTCCTCCTCTGTTGCTTTCTCAACCCTCAAAATGCTGGAATCCTACTCATGGTATGAATTATCTCATTATTCTTAATTGAATTACCTTGCTGACCATCTTACAATGATCAGTAATTACACTGGTTAGTCTAGCTGCATGGCCATGATGGAGAGTTCACATCTGTTTACTCTCTCTGATGTTCAGGTCTCAATGCTCTTAGATACAATGAAGGTATTTACTCTGAAAAGCTGCTAGGCAAAGTGCCAACAGGAAGATCATTCCCCTGAAATAGGGAACCCTTCAGGGCCAGCTTTGTGGGAAGGTAACTTGTGCAGTTGCACATGGGCCTACACTTGGTTTTATGCTCTGCTGTTGCAGAAATGCTTGGCATTTTCATTTTGCACTAGGTCTCACAAATTATGTGGCCCATCCTGGAATCCCATTCTCTGTATTTTTTAAAAATTTGTCTTAAAAATATTCATCAGTAGCCATGGAGAAAGGACAGAATGGCAGTACTTAACATATAAAAACTGGCTGCAGTTCAAATTGTATGTTTGACAGGAAGAAAAATACTATGGCAGAATTAAATCTTTTAACTATTCCTTCCCTTCCCTATGTGGTTCTATTTTCATTCTTATTTTCTCTTTATCTCAAGTGGGGGAGATAACATTGTGAATGCTGAAAGGTTTCTATACAGGATACTTGGATAGCATGCTAATCTGAAGGGTACGAAGTCAGTATGTTAAAAAGAACCTTTGTGGTTTCTACAAATTGAAGCATATTTCAAAAGAGTCCAATATATAAATAGGAAAGTAATGGACACATATAAATGGTGCTCTCTCTCTCTCATATATATATATATTTCTTACAACATTTAAGGCCTCATACAATACTCTTGTAATGAGCAATAGTAGCTCTCCTATTCAGGCACTGGTAGTTTTATAGAAGTGAGGTGGAAAAAGGAAAGGCAGAAATACCAGACTGTAGACATTTTAGGGAAAAGAAAATACCAATTAAATTCATCATATTAACTTGTAAAAATGTCTTCTCAGCTTCCTCTTGAGTAATTTTGTTTGCCAAATGCTTGCTATGTGCTAGGTGCTGCTAGAAATGCAAAGGTGAGTAAAACACATTGAGTTTACCAGCAAAGCTATCAGGACTTAATAGATTAAAGATCTTAAAAAATAGAATTAGAAAAGAAATCCCATTAGAACTTTGCTTCCTGTTTTAGAGATAGTATACTAGAACCTTTATATTGTAGCATTTGGCACTTAACTAAATAAGGCAATTAGAAGGGGTATAAAATGGCCTTGTTTTACATGCTAATTCTATGCTCATTACTGCATCATACATCAAGTTACTGCAGGAAACCACATTAGCAGTTCCAGGGAAGTTATTTAACGTATCTTATAAAAGCTGAATTTGGTCAATGCTACTCATTAAGTGAAATCATGTGAGATATTATATTATTATAATTTATATTTTAAAACACAATATTATCTATTACTACCTAAACATATTCTAGAAAAAGAAAATTATAAAATAGCAAGAAAAATACATTTTTATTATAATTCAACAACATTATTATTAGATATAATTTGTAGATCACCTACCATGTGTCTGGCACACTGCTAAATACTTCATATTTATTATCTCATTTATCCTAATAACAACTTCCTAAAGTAGGTATTATAGCCAGTTTAACAGATGTGAGAAGGAAGCTAAATAAATAGACCAAGGTCATTAACATGGCAGAAAGACTTGAATTCCTAATCATTATTGTGCTAATTCTGTTTCTATGCTTAGCTCTGAACTTCTTTTTTTGATCAATTTCATTTTGTATTGTTTAAAAATCAATGTCTGCATTAGATGGATGTTATATAACATGTTTAAACTACATAGTATAACAAAATATAAGGCAGGCTTGCAAGTGTTTTTGCAATTCAGAATGTAGTTTAGATAAGGAATATTAGAACTGAGACTGTGAAAGACATGGCTCTCTGGGAAAACTTAAAGCAATTTTACCAGCAAAAGGACAACTCTATGCTAGCTAGAAGATGACTAGTAACCATTGTTTAAAGAGGATTATTTGCTATTTTTGCAATATTCATACCAAATTATTTTATTTTTTACTTTATTTTATTTTTGAGATGGAGTCTCGCTCTATCGCCCAGGCTGGAGTGCAGTGGTGTGATCTTGGCTCACTGCAACCTCCGCCTCCTGGGTTCAAGCAATTCTCTTGTCTCAGCCTCTTGAGTAGCTGGGACTACAGGCGCATGCCACCACGCCTGGCTACTTTTTGTGTTTTTAGTAGAGACGGGGTTTCACCATATTAGTCAGGCTGGTCTTTATCTCCTGACCTCAGGTGATCCACCTACTTCGGCCTTCCAAAGTGCTGGGATTGCAGGCATGAGCCACCGCGCCCAGTCCCCAAAGTATTTTAAATTATATTTACCTTTATTTCTAAAAATAGAAGAAAAATTTGTACCTAAAAATAAAGACTAGTAAATGATATGCCTTAAATAAAGCTACAGAGAACATGAAATGGAAATAAATGTTTAACTGACTTTCTGGATTCTGTTATAAACTACCCAAGGTGACAAAGGATTAATGACTGAATAACAGTTAACAGACAAGGGTAGCCATAACTTAATCTTTTAAAACTGAAGAGTTTCTAGACATTTGCTCTTCAGAGAACAACTTTATTTTTATTTTTTTCTTGGGATGGAGTCTCACTCTGTTGACCAGGCTGGAGTGCAGTGGTGCGATCTCGGCTCACTGCAACCTCCACTTCCTGGGTTCAAGTGATCCTCTTGCCTCAGCCTCCCGAGTAGATGAGACTA